AAATGATTTTTATATTTGGTGACAGAAGTGAGGCAGTTTATAGTATTGATTATGCCCTTTTGGTATGAATACTCATACTTCACTGCCAAAATCTGAAATTGCGAGATGCTATCAGAATCTTCTGGGGGGGCGGGTGCGGGTAGGTGTGGTCATTAGCATCATAAATGGTGTATGAATCATTTTATCTAATAAAATAAATAAAAATTAAAAAAAATAATAAAATCTAAATGTTCTGATTCTGAAATAATGTTTGTTCCCGGGGATTGTGGGTCTCTACAAATGTCTGCTGCCAAATATAAGATTATTTCTAGCTTCTTCTTTTGATGAGCCTATTGTACATTAGACCCTAACCGTCATACAAAGAATGTTTTAGTGTAATTTTGAAATAATCATATATTATTACTGTGATAGTTGTAGGGTATGCTAATTTTGCATCTGATTTTTTTCATTTGTTATTCAGGCTATCTTTAGTGCCCAGTTTATTTCCTACTCTTGATTTTCCAAGGCATTGAAGTTATTCTTGGGACTTCAGTCAACATTCAGCTTTTAGTTGGCTCCCTTACCTTGGTTGTGTACTTTCTTTTGGTCCAATTCATATTTCTTCAGTACCATACCAGATTCCCAGAAGAACATAAAAAGAAAGATGAAACTGTCAGTTGATTATTTGTTGTAGGACCTTTAATACCTTAGACTTAAGTGAGACAGGGATGTAAATGATTGCTGATAGTACAAAACTGTGCCAAAGGTAGTACTATTAGTTGGAATTTAAGGGAGAGTTCGGTGGTTCTTTTTAAGTTAATTTGTTTTGTCATAAAAGTTACGGGTTTGTAGGTGTAGTTTGTGTTCTTTAAAGCTAGGAATCTAATTCTTACTGACACAAAGCTAGCTTGTCACCTCTACCTTTGTCCCAATGAAGGCCAAATAGAAATCCAGATCTTGTTTACTGCTAAAGTCCTTTAGGACTTACCCATTACCAGTCAGGAAGTATATAATCCTGGGATAGCTCCTGATTACATAGCATTTTAATAAGTCTGGGCTAGGTAAAAAACACCATACGTCTATATTGTATGGCAGGGGATAATACTTTTTTTAATGAAAGAATTACAATATAGTTTCTAATTCACCATGTGTAAATCAAGCCTACAGTTACTGTTATGGAAGGAGTCAAGCTAGTGAAACTTTTCCATTTTCTTTTTTTTTTTTTAATTGTTTTATTAGGGGTTTACACAACTCTTATCACAATCCATACACACATCAATTGTGTAAAGCACATTTGTACATTCATTGCCCTCATCATTCTCAAAACATTTCCTCTCCACTTAAGCCCCTGGCATTAGGTCCTCATTTTTCCCCTCGCTCCCCACTCCCCCCTCCCTCATGAGCCCTTGATAATTTATAAATTATTATTTTGTCATATCTTGCCCTGTCCAACGTCTCCCTTCACCCACTTTTCTGTTGTCCGTCCCCCAGGGAGGAGGTCACACATAGCTCCTTGTAATCGGTTCCCTCTTTCCAACCCACTCTCTCTCTACCCTCCCAGTATCGCTACTCACACCACTGGTCCTGAAGGGATCATCCGCCCTGGATTCCCTGTTTCCAGTTCCTATATGTATCAGTGTACACCCTCTGGTCTAGCCAGACTTGCAAGGTAGAATGCGGATCATGATAGTGGGGGCGGGGAGGAAGCATTTAGGAACTAGAGGGAAGTTGTATTTTTCATCGTTGCTGCATCGCACCCTGACTGGCTCTTCTCCTCCCGGAGAGAGGATCTCCAGTGGCCTACAAATGGGCTTTGCGTCTCCTGCACTCCCCCCCTCATTCACTATGGTAAGATTTTTTGTTCTGATGATGCCTGATAGCTGATCCCTTCGACACCTCATGATCGCACAGGCTGGTGTGCTTCTTCCATGTGGGCTCTTCTTAAGCACCCTCTACTTCTACCTTTTTATGAACTTTAGTTCTTCCTCTTGTGACCACTACCGAATATCATAGAACATGTTACTTAATCTTTCTGAATTTCTCACTTTGTTTTTGTTTGTTTTTTGTCTCTCACTTTTATGGATAGGCATTTGGAGCCACTTTTGGCACTAAAAGAGATATCATTTCAAAGAACTGGGACATTGTACTGATTATTTTAAGATCTAAGGTTTTATGGATATTTGAGGCATGGGAATGGACCATGTTTAAATTGAGGCACAACCATTTACTAGCTGTGTATTCTGATTAACTCTGAAGTCGTAGTTGTCTTTTGTTACATGAGGATAATAGTGCCAGAGTACTTATGAGGAATTGATTATCAATATACTTATCCTAGAGGCTGGGCCATAGAAACCACTTACACCAAGGTAAGGACTGCAGATACTGGTTTTTTTGTGGTTGTTGGGAGGTACGGAGGCATCAGTTGGAACTCCCAGTAACGCATGCACACCAAGAGCTATGTGTGACCCTACCCTCCTTGCACCATCCTCACGGTCTTTGCTCTCTTTAAGCCTGCTGATAGTTACTGGGAGAATCCATCTCTTTGAGGGTCTTCCTCATGCTCACTGACCTTACCTATTACAATGCCTTCCCCAAGGGTAGTCCCTCCTTAGGTAGGTCCAAAGTGTGTTTGTTGGTAAAGTGTAATTTGATTTTCCTGTAATTAAACAAAAACAAATAAAATTGACTGTGGAGTGTGTATAGTTTGTGTAGCTTGTTATTAAACTGAGGGCTGCCATTTCAAAGATAATATCTTTACGTTAAGTAGCCACTCCTTGCCAAAATAATATCTTTTAACTAGATCATAAGATGTAGTGGAAAGAATTTAGGATTGGAAATAAGAAACCCTGGCTTTAATTTCAGACCACCATTTACTGACTTTGGGCCTTAGGAAAACTATTTAACCTCTCATTAATTTTTCTTTTGTAAAATTGTGATAATCTGTCCTGTATATGGTAGCATGCTTAGAAAAATCAGTTGAAAAAGAATTTTTAATGTGCTTTGTAAATTGTAAAGCAGTTTATAATTGTAAGGAGCAAAGAGTATTTGCAAATGATCCAAAGGAGTTCTCAAATCTCTTTTATACTTTCTTGTTGTTGTTGTATGTGTGTTTCTTTTGGGGGGAGGGGGGCATATTTTTTTTAAAGGCTCATTTATCCCAAAAGATGACATCCTTAAAGTGTGTATATTGTGGAACTGTCTTTAAATGAAGTAGAAGAATTTTGTGAACTCTGGTCTATTCAGTATTTTCTTTTTCATGGAAGGAAATCACTCTTTAATATATTAAGTACTTTGTGATGAACAGGCCTTTGTATTAAGAACTGATTTTAGACACTTTGGTAAGACAATAGGGATGGTTTTATTGTGGTAAAAATGTATATACTTAGGTGTGCTTTACACAATTGATCTATGTATTGTGATGAATTGTATGAGCCCCAATAAAATGATTAAGTAAAAGTTTAAAAAATGTATATACTAAAACATTTGCATTTAAACTATTTTCACATGTACAATTCCATAATCTTAAGTACCCTGTGTATAATCATCACCACTATCAGTTAAGGTATTTTTTTTGAAGGTGCAAAGTTCTCGTGTGTGTGTGTGTGTGTGTGTGTGTGTGTGTGTGTGTGTGTGAGAGAGAGAGAGAGAGAGATAAATTTGGTGGTAAAGCCTATGATGACAATAATTATAAAACGAGACAGACGAAGCTGTGTGTGTGTGATAAATTTGGTGGTAAAGCCTATGATGACAATAATTATAAAATGAGAGACAGACGAAGCTTTGATCCCGGCAGGGCATAGGAAAACCATAGATGCATGTCTGCTCTAAAATCCAAACACCAGTGTTCTGAATAGGAAACGAACTCGACACTGGCCTCTGCCTTCATGGTCCCTGTTTGACATTGATTTCTCCTTTTAGTCTAATAATTCAAAGAGGAATTCCTGTGACTTACATAAAAGAAAAATCCCCTTTTTAAAAATCTCTTTTTAATAATCTTTTCACATCTGTGGAGGGGCCAGTATCTTTTTTCCTCTCTTTTTATTATCTACAAACAAGATGAAGTAAAACAGACTTGGATCGGGAAGAGTTGGAAGGAGGGACTGGTGTGTAGATGAGGGAAAATGAAGTAATTTGTGTAGTTAGCCTAGTAGCCCAACTTGCTGTTTACCTTTTGGGGTTTTGGAAGTAAGTAGGTAGTACTTTTCAGAACCTGCTTTAAGCCAAAGGAAAAAAGAAAAGTTGATTAGGTGGCCTCAGGGAAAACATCTTTTTTTTTTTTTAATGCTAACATCCTAGCATTGTGATACTTTTTATCAACATTTCTAGTACATTATGAATTATTTTTGTGGATTAGTCTGAAAAATAAGACTTCATTCCAGTCACAAATGTGTAGTTTTGAAGAATAACTTGGGACAGGGAAGGTCTCTTGTCTTTCTTTCTAGCCTATAGCCATTACCAGCCTTGGGTCTGAAGTAATTTCTTCGTGCTTATCCGTTAAATCAGTTAACATGCTGTGTCCAGCACTGTTTGCGCTTGTGGAGAAAATACAAAATAAGCATAAAATAGACTTATTAACGCTAACAATTAGAGTTAAGGCAATGTATAAACCTTTAAAGGATTATAAGAGGAAGAATTATATTTCAAAGATAGCTCATTGGAACGGAAAACATAGAGAACCCTCCCTGGGGAGGTGTGGTTCTTGAGTTCAGCTATCAGATGTCTGGTTTAAATATACAAGTAGAGCACCTATGAAAGGTTTTGCTCCTTCAGGGAGAACTGAGAATAGAGAATTTGATTAGTGTAAAAAAAAGGTGATGGTTTCCTAGGTAGAGTTAATTAGTTGTACATTATATATATTTTAGTGAAACAGCTGACATTTAAGGTTGGGGACAGCTTTCACCAAGGTACAAGCACTTGGCATTTGCTTTGTCACATGATTTGGGCCTAGAGAGTGGCATGTTTTTTCGTGTTTTGTGTTAAGCAGCAAAATGTCGGTGGTTAGCATTTCCCTTCTTTTGCAGGTAGAAAACAAGAAGCAGATGAGTCGGGTGGAGACGCTTCTGTGGAAGATGAAGTCAAGGTAAAGTTAATTGCTCGGGTTACGGTGTTTGTTTTGAGCCTAATCATTTAGATGGTGAATTTTCATATATTTTGCAATTGGTCATAAAATCTATATGTAGAAGATCATGTGCTTTCATCAGTAAGAAATATGACAAATAACTATCTTTTTAAAAATTAGGCAGAAAGCTGAAAATAATAATCCCTCCAGGCCTTTATGTAGAAATCTGAGACATAAGGCTCAGGGTAGCTTACCCCTCATAGCTACAGAACAATTGATGTGTTGGTTCCTGGACAAGTTTATCAATAAATGTATCACTTGCCCATTGAATTTAGTGTTTGTATATAGTATACTGAACTTAGATGAGTGCCATCCTCAAATGGAGAGAGGAAATTGCTGTTGCTTGGTAAACGTCAAATTACTAAGTTTATTTTGCCCTATAAAGATAAGCCAGACTCTCTACCCCCCCCTGCAAAGAAGGAATGTTCTTCAAAAACTGAACACTGGGGGGGGGTGGGGATATATAGTTTGATGGTGATTTTCTTATGTTAAAAGATCAGAACAGGTTTATTTTCATTGTATTTGGGGTTTCATTTGTTTCTGTTTTATTTTCATGAAAAATTATCTACTTAATTTATCTTTACATTTTAAGTATTGTGGCATTTGCAGGATTTACTGAGTGAACGTAGTTTTAGTATGGATATTTATGCTCCTATATATTCTGTTCTGTGTAGTTATTTCATGTTGAAATAATGTATGTGAGCTTCACCACGAAGTTGGCTTCATTCACCCATTCATCTCTCCCATCTGCTTATTCTCTTCACCCCACAGGACCATCACACACACACACAAACCCTTTGCCCCTCACATTGTGAGGGCAGGCATGGGGGGAAAGGTCTGGTTGAGGTGCCAAAGCTGAAATCAGATAACTGATGAGAGTATTTATGATGAGAGTATCCATGAAATAGGTGATGGCATGCCTATCGTCTGCTTTTATTTGAGCCTTTATAAATTACAATTTAGGTATTCTGTATCTTTACTTTGCCTTCTGTTAGATATATTCCTTTGTTCTTATTTTCTCCAGTTATCTTCACTACAAAGTATATGCTGAAGCAAAAATTATCCACAAGCTGTAAAAACATTGTGGCTTTTAATTGTCAAATAAAACTTGTTTTCCTCTCTTCAGTTTATCAAAATGTTACCATCATTTGAAATGTTACCAGGAGATACAAACATTCTACTTAGAAGAATAGAAATACTATCTTTTAAATGTGTTGCAAAAGGTGCCTCTGTCACTCTGTGAACAACTACCTGGTCTTGAGATCTCGAAGAGCAAAAGGGCCTTTCAAGAAAAGCCGATTTAAGTAAATCTCTGTTTCCTATTCTTTTCTTTATACTTCTTCTTTCACTTCGGAAATAGCACACCTGAGCTATTTTATAAAAGCTACCATATATACTTGTGTATACGCTGAGGTTTTTCCAGCGCATTTTTTTCTTTTTCTTTTTTAAATTATTTTATTGGGGGCTCGTACAATTCTCATCACAATCCATACATACATCCATTGTGTCAAGCACATATGCACATTTGTTGTCCTCATCATTCTCAAAACATTTGCCTCCCACTCTAGCCCCTAATATCAGTTGCTCATCCAGCACATTTTTTATGCAGTTTTTGTAGTAAAATTAGATGCCATGGCTGATATTTGGGTCGGCTTGTACTCGAATATATAGCTAAGTAAATTTCTCCTTGCCTTAGGATTTGTGATTTTGGAATTTATACAGAAGTGATGGGTAACTAACATCTATCACTTAGATACTTGAATAATAATAGAGATATTGCTTCTAAGGCAGCGAGTCTCAACCTGTGGGTCACAACTCCTTTGGGGGTGGAAAGACCCCTTTCACAGGAGTCACTTGATTCATAACAGTAGCAAAATTACAGTTGTGAAGTAGCAACGAAAATAATTTTATGGTTGGGGGTCACCACAGCATGAAGAGCTGTATTAAAGGGTTTGGCAGTAGGAAAGGTGAGAACCCCTGTTCTAAGGATAAGTAAGCAAAAGGGCTAAGTTTGGCACTTCAAAATAGGTGAACTTTGACCTTGGTGACCTTGTTTTGCATTGTTTTTGTTTCATATCTATTCTACCATTTTACAACTGCCTGTTTCATCTTCACATATAACATTCCTTGCCACCACTCCCACTATGGTGAGGTTGGCCAAACCTACCTTTCCAAAGATGTACCCCGTGTGTCTTTTTTCTTTTGGTGCAATTCAGCTGTGAGTAATCAATTGGGTTTTTTTTGTTTTTGTTTTTTTTTTGAGTAATCAATTGTTATGCCCTTGCTTTTCCTCCTTTAACCAGAGACCTTTTCTTACATGTGCTCGATTTACTCTAAGACTGTAAAAGAAAGGAGTGTTCATTGCTTTTAACCCTTTCTCTGCATTTGAAGATGCAGCTAAGCAGATTGCCACGGCTCTTTCTGTGTACTGAAGTACCATGTATCCACACCTTCCTTTCCGAATCCAGTCCCAACCTGTGCTTACCTGCCTGGTTGGCATTTGTGGCACAAGAATAGATTCCCAACTTAAAATAAAAAAAAATTTTTTTGCATGTTTTTCAAGAAAAGACATCAGTATAACAGTTGGGAATTCCTTTTAAAGGAGAACTAAACTTTATGTTTAATAGGTAAGCTTCCCAAGGTTTTTGAAGTTAAACTAAGGCACACAGCAAAATTAGATTATTTCTTTGAAGCCATGTTACCATCACAGTTCCTAGATAGAATATGGCTTGGTGAACATAAATCACTAGATGTAAAGAGCATGTTTAGTAGCATTTCAATTTTGGATATTTTCAGTGTGAGATTTGGGAACTCAGATGCATGGGTTATAGACACAGTTAATATAGAAAATAATAAAATGAACTTTAGCTATGGGAATAATAGCAAAATATGATAAAATTTAAAACATTTAGAGATGTAAATTACCGAAAACATTTGGTGGACAGCCTACACTCCTTTGCCTCTAGTTGTACCAAATTTTCTTACCATTAAAAGGAATGTGAATTGGAGAGTCAAGAGGCACATGAACAGGATGGAAATGACGAATTAAAGGACTCTGAAGAATTTGGAGAAAATGAAGAAGAAAGTGTGCATTCCAAGGAGTTACTTTCTGCAGAAGAAAACAAGATTACTCAAGAATTAATAGAGGCAGAAGCAATAGAAGACATAGAAAAAGAGGACATCGAAAGTCAGGTCTTTAGCCAGTTTTTTAAAAAATGACCCACATAAATTTAAGTTTTTAAATAAGTTAAAGTATTTTTTCTAATTCGATTTGAAGGTCTCAGAATTTTAAAGAAAATTTGTTTTTAAAGTTATTTATAAACCACTCAAAATTCTACCACCTAAGGTAACAGTTCTAAGTTTTGCTTATTATCTTCCATTATCTATATTTTGGCATGGGTACTATACCATAAGTTGCTATTTAATCTCTATTCGCAGAACCTATCATAATTACTTTATAATCCCTTGTTTGTTACACGACAGTTATTGGACCATTTTTATATGCCTAATAGCCACTTTTAAAATTATGGATAATCAAATTTTAAGTTACCATAATCCCCGCTCCTTTATGGATGAATGTACCAATTTCACTGTGGCCTTGCCAGCCTTACCTGGTGGTAGTGCCCTTCCTTATTCCTGTTACTTTAGTAGGTATAAGCAGTTACTTTAATTTTCAATTATTTTGATATTGAGGGTGGGGAAATTGCTTCTTAAAGCTTAATTTTAAAGCGTATAATTTTTCAAATACAGTCGACCCTCCGTTTTCATGGGTGCTGCGTTCCCAGAGTCTACCAACTAAACCACTGAGGATCACATTGAAGGGTAGTGGGCGATTAAATATCATAGCAATCCCTCAAAGGATGAGAGGAAGTGGCAAGTGCTAGTTACATACCATTTACATTGTATGGTACCATAAGTCATTGAGAGATAACTTTGAGTCTATGAGCTGGTGGGCGTAGGTTATATGACAGTGCTACGCCATTGTATTTGAGACATCTGTTGGTTTGAGTTTTAGTGAGGTCTTACAGTGACGGTCCTGGGAGCAATCCCCTTCGGAGGGACGACTTGTATTGTCGTGGAGCAAAATAGACCATTTGCCCTTTAGAGGGCTGTAGTACATCTCAAGAAAATTGATGGAGTAGTGTCAGTACTGCTAATATTTATGTTTAAAACATAATTCCATTTTACCTAACCTAATCAATGAGGGGTTCAAGAAAGATAGTCGTCTAATTCCTTAGCCTTGTGAGCAGTGTTTTATGTTGACATAAAGAATGTAGTCTGGAATATTGAGCATTGATTTAGAACTTATAGACACTCTACAGAACATGAAGGAAATCATAATTGGGCATAAGCATAAAAGCATTTTGATAACTTCCAGACACCTTGTAAAGCAAAGTTATTGTATACCTTTTTATTTAGGAAATTGGAGCTCAAGAAGGTGAAGATGATACCTTTCTAACAGCTCAAGTAAGTTTGCATTTAGTCCTGTGAACCCAGATATTGTGCGGTGGGTCTTGAAAAAGGAATCTTACTTTAATTTGTATTTCTTCAGAAACTGCCTTCAATTTAATGCTGAAATACATATGTAATATATACTTAAACTTTTGGCAGCTGAAATTTTGGTTACTACAAATATAATTGGTAGTTATTAAAATGAGGTTCCTATCATTTCCAGAATAAAAACTTTAAATGGTCTTCTTGATGATCATTTTTACATTCCTTGTTTTTATTTTATTTTTAGCACAAAATAATTTAAAAGTAGTAATACTGTTTTCAAAGTTTTGTTTTAAAAAGTTAATACTCAGAAAAGATAAAACAATATCTAATTGCTATGTTAGGGTATATGTGTGCAGAAAATTACTGTTCTTCCATATATGTAGAAAATATTTTTTTTTGGAAAATATTTTTTATATATATTACGTGTATCAAATAGTTTACCTTTAAAAGCATGCTAATTAACAGAGTTCAATTTCTGCCTTAATTTTTTTCCCTTTTTTTCTCATGCTTAACAAAGAACTTTTTGTCATTGCCATAGAGTCCATGCTGACTCATAGTGACACCTCGTTGGTTTCTGAGAATATAAGCCCACACTTTTTGAACTGCTGACGATGCAGATCAAGCTCAACATGTAACCACTACACCAGCTAGGCTTCATTGCTCTGCATAGAGTCTGCTGTTGATAGGCAGCTTAGCTGATTGCTTCGAGCCTAATGCCTTTTTTTTTGTGGCTGCTCCTTGCCTTTGAAATGCTGCTGAAGCTATACTTTGGGTCTTGGGGAGAAAAGTAGAGTACCTTTTTATTTCATTTGGCATTTCACTAAAGGTTATAGATTGCACTACAAAGATAAACATGAATATCTATCTTATATCGAGTATTTTCCTTATAGTCCTACATGAAATATGGTTTTCGAGATAAACTTTGAGGTGCTTAATTTAAAAGAATGCTTTACCAACTTTAAATTAGTGATTAGCTTAAATGGATATTGTTACATAGTTACTATCTGCTTCATTCTTTTTTCCTTTTTTTTAAATGCACAATTTTATTTATTTACTTTTAAGTTTAAATTCTTGAGGGGTACAGCATCACACAGATTCTGTGTCCAATAGCCTTAGCAGGCAGGTTGCTCCGGAATTTGGCCCAAACCATGCCACTGTTTCCATGGGCACGAGTTACCTTTCCCCAGATGACTCTGGTTTTGTTAGGTTTGCCGCCAGGAGTCACTGTGTTGTTCTTTGCTTTGTACACATAAGCACATCTCTTGCCTAAATAAAATTCCGTTTCATCTCGGGCGTGAACACCTTCAATTTTGAGAAGAGCGTGTGCTTCCTCTGGTTCCGTAGACCCCGTTTATAGCCAGCAAATATGGCTTTGGACCACAGCCTTCCAGACATAGTTGCCGTTTAGAAGTCCTGTTCCCAGCAGGCCTCCACAGGCTCCAATATGGCGGAAAAAGGCACCTCTGCCTCATTCTTAAAAAGCAATGTTTGAATGCAGGGGGGCCTAATCGCAAATAAGTTACATATCAAATGTGTGTACATATACTATTTAGACAGGAAAAAAAAATCCTGTTAGTCTTTATTGTATTTCTGAGTTTGTGTCTCTATTGCACAAAATTTTAGGTTTAACTTAATAGGCCTGTATTTAGTATACATTTAGAAACCAGTAACTGTTGAGTCTTTTCTGACTCAAGGCAATCCCATGTGTGTCTTGGTAGAACTGTGCTTCATAGGGTGTGCAATGGCTGATTGTTCTCAAGTAGACCAGGCCTTTCTTCTGAGGTGCCACTGGGTGGAGTCGAACCTACAACCTCTCAGTTAGTAAAACCAACTTCTCAGTTGTTAAAACAAGTACACACTTGTATGCGGTTCATATTTTCTACTAAACCAAGTTGTTTTTTGTGCTTCATCTGCATTGTAATCCATTTTGTTTCCTATAAGCTGGGTCATACTCTTTTCCTAGGGGCATTTTGGTATGTGTAACAAGGCTAGGGTAGGCATTACTTTGAAGAACTGACTAATGAATAATAATTAAAAATTTGTGAACAAAATAAGATAAACCTTACTAACAGGTAGAAGTAACATTTCTAATTATCAGGGCTGTAGCAGAAAGTATTTTGACTTTTACATCATACTATTAAATATTACTTTTCAAGTATCAAATAATTTTGATTTTTTTTTTTTTCCCTTGAGCGACCAACATTGTATCTCTAAAAGAATACTTTGGAAGTAGTGTGTTGTTGGCATCACAGGTAGACACAGGAGAGGCAAGTTTATTAAGTTCATTTGTTCTGCCTACAAGTAGAAGCTAAAGCTGTCCCAGTTTATTTATCCTACCAAGATAAATTACTAAACTAAAGAGGGTTGGGAAGCCAGGGGTTTCTTGATAATTCGAGCATTACTCATTCTTCTCCTACTGTCACGCCTACCAACCCACCCAAGTTAAAGCCTTTTCCTTTTGAAATGTGGTCACCTAGAAATGTAACAGTACAACAATTTAGTTAAAGGTTCTTAGTATAATAGAATGAACTTACATATGTAGTAGGATTTACATTATCTTCATTGATTCATGTGCTTTGGGCCATTTCACTTCCTAAGCCTTTGTGGCTTAGTATTTTTTTTAGTAGTGTTTTGTTTCATTTATGATACTTTAATTATGTACAACAGTTGTTGACTCAAAACCAACATCATTTTAAGTGATTTTTGAGGAATATGATAGCTATTCAATTGTAATTAAAAAAATCATGTTATTGGGGACTCGTACAACGCTTATCACAATCTATACATCCATCCATTGTGTCAAGCACATTTGTACATTTGTTGACATCATCATTCTCAAAGCATTTGCTTTCTACTTGAGCCCTTAGAATCAGCTCCTCATTTTCCCCTCCCTCCCCACTACCCCCTCCCTGATGAACCCTTGACAATTTATAAATTATTATTTTGTCCTATCTTACGCTGTCAGATGTTTCCCTTGACCCACTTTTCTGTTGTCCATCCCCCAGAGAGGAGGTTATATGTAGATCTTTGTAGTGGGTTCCCCCTTTCTACCCTACCTTCGTGCCAGTATCACCACTCTCACCACTGGTCATGAGGGGCTCATCTGTCCTGAATTCCCTGTTTCCAGTTCCTATCTGTACCAGTGTACAGTCTAGCCAGATTTGTAAGGTAGAATTAGGATCATGATAGTTGGGGATAGGAAGCATTTAGGAACTGTAGGAAAATTGAATGTTTCATCGTTGCTGCACTGCACCCTGACTGGCTTGTCTGCTCCCTGCGGTCCTTCTGTAAGGGGATGATGTCCAGTTGCCCACAGATGAGCTTTGGGTCCCCAATCTGCACTCCCTCTCATTCACAATGATATGGTTTTTTGTTCTTTGATGCCTGATGCCTGATCCCTTTTGACATCTCGTGATCACACAGGCTGGTGTGCTTCTTCCATGTGGACTTTTTTGCTTCTCAGCTAGATGCCCGCTTGTTTACTCAAATGTAATTTTTAGCACATGATAAAATACTGGGCATTTTAAAGGAATATATGCTTTTGAAGGGATTTCAAATCATACTGTAAGCTAAATCTGATCAGCAAATAAGATTGGCAGCATTGGATATCACCTGGAAACTTGTTCGAAATGCTAATTGTCAGACCCAACTCTACACCTCCAGAATGAGAAACAGCAGTCTGTTTTAATAAGCCCTCCAGGGGCTGCTGATACACACTCAAGTTTGAGAACTGCTGGTTTGAAACTTTGCATGTAATAGCTTCACAACTACTTGACTTAAAAATAATCTACTCAGCCTTCATTTTCAAAGTTCTTATAAGGATTTTCTTTACATTTTTTTTAAGTTACTGACATTATAATGCAAGCATTTGTTTTTTATGGTTTTCTATTTGGGAAAATGTTAATCCTATTTTAGTGTGATTACTTCCATCAGTTTTTCAGTATTTGCTTGCTGGAATAAATAAGAGTTTTTCCTTTGAGATAATTCTGTTTTCAAGCTAGCACATGGATAATTGGATAATTTTTAATTGGGTTAAGATATGAACTGTTTTAAAATTTTTAAAAATCCAATTTTTATATATATCTGTAGTGTTATGTATCAACTAAGAATTCATTTCTAACAGATAAAAAGAATGAATAATTTGACACTGGCCACGCTTGTGGTCATCCTTCTTGCTTTTGTGCTACTGCTACCTAAAAACAAGTACGTTTTGTTTTGTTTTTGATATGAAGCATTCAAGCCCTTAAATGGTGTGTGTCTACAGGTTGGTGCTATCTTTAGTAATATGAGTACCTTTAAATAATAAATAATTATTTGTATTTGTTAGCTATTTGATATAAATAGGATTTCAGTCATATAACTAATTTTGAATACTGAATACAGATAAATTCAGTTTACTGTTGGCCTAGTCAATGAGATTTGCCTTTTTTAAAATAGTACATACTTGATAAGAGTTGTACAAGCCCAATAAAACGATTTAAAAAAAAATAGGTGCCTTGGCTGATAGTCAGGTCAGCTTATACTGGAGTATATACAGTACATTAAAATTGCACCTTTAAAAATACAAACGCAAAAAAGTAATAAGTAAATAAAACACACACATACACACAGAAATAGTACATACTAGCCAGATGCCTTATATCTTTAAATGGATTCTCTGGTGGTTCTGATTAGAATATTCTCTGTAGTTGTTAGATAAAACTGGTTAATATCATTAAGTTATCATCAATAGAACTTGAATCTGTACTATTAGTAAAATCCAATTTTATGTGAATCCATTTTACATTTGATTATTCTTTGAATTTCAGGATGGTGAGGAAGAAGAAAATGAGAAAGGTATGTTTGATACTAAGTGGAGTTTAACATGACTGGCATTTAGAAAAATAGTAAACCATGTCAAAATAAAGCATTCCTTATTTTTGAAATAGGTTTACTTTCAAATTTATCAAGGTAGTAATTTAAGTTAGCATCTTGATTTTATTTTTTAGTTTTAATATTTTTAACACCAGATATATTCTAACTTAAAAGCACATATTAGTTACTGTAGTGGACAGTCATTTTTTAGTTAATTCAATATTAATTTTGTTTTTCAAAACTTCTAGCAAATGCTAAGTTGATCACATACTTTAGACTGGCACTTCAGTAACTCATGCGTACTTATTTGGAGTTTTACTGTGTGACACATCATGAATTTTACAACTAGTCCTAAAAATGGTGGATCACCGGAAGCAGGCATTTGTGTGCTGCTTAGAGAAACTTCCATGCAGCCTTCTGCATGTGTAAGTAGTTTAGGAGGGTTTTCTCATCCAGTACAATTACACTGCCTACAGGAGCAATACGTGTGGTCAGTATGAGGTTAGGGAAGAGTTCTTGGACAGAAGTCAAAGGATTCTCCCTATTTGGGCTAGAAAGGACATGGAGCAGGGTTTTAAGCAAGGCAGAATAAAAAGCCTAGAAGCAATAATGAAGTAAAGCTACTGACTGAAAACACACATTCCTGAAGTTTTTCCATTTTGGGGGAATGCAAGACACGTTTGAAAATAATCATTATGGGACTGACTGGACTGGATGAAGACTGGAAACAACCAATTTCCTGAATGTCATGGAGCCAGACCATCCTTGGAGCCTCCGTAGCCGTTTCCCTTATGATGCGAGACTACCCAAGAACTGAGTAAGAAGAGCCAAAGGGATGGGGCCTGTGAAATACCTTGAAGAGTGATTGATAGCCTCAGACTGTGACCTTTCAAGAAGTCACCATGGGAGTTCTGAAGGTCACAAGGGTTAAATTTGAAGATGTTTTGAACATTGAATATCAAATCTGCACATTGACTACTATCCCACGGAGGAAAACATTTCCCATATGCCGCTAACTTATAACCAGAAATGAAGAGCTGGTATCATCAGGATGGAAACATTTTCTCACTCTTGTTGTTTGACATTTATATGTAGAGATCATTTTCCCCACGAAGAATAAGTGATCCTGGGTAAAGGATTGTTTATGTTAGATAATACCCTTGTGTTTTTTTTTTTGTTTTTGTTTTTTGGGGTTTTTTTTTTCTCCTCCTAACCTTCCATCAGTGCTAATAACTGGCTTTATATTTTCTAGGTCCTAATTTAGCTTATGAATATGAAATTGTTTAAACTTCTTGTTTTGCCGTATTTATTCCTGTTAAATCCTCTTAGATATAGCAGGTTCTGGTGATGGTACACAAGAAGTATCTAAACCTCTTCCTTCAGAAGGGAACCTAGCTGAGGCTGATCACACAGCTCACGAAGAGATGGAAGCTAATGCGACAGTGAAAGAAGCTGAGGATGACAACATCTCGGTCACAATCCAGGCTGAAGATGCCATTACTCTGGATTTTGATGGTGATGACCTCCTAGAAACAGGTAAAAATGTGAAAATTACAGATTCTGAAGCAAGTAAGCCAAAAGATGGGCAGGACGCCATTGCACAGAGCCCGGCGAAGGAAAACAAGGATTATGAGATGAATGCCAACCATAAAGATGGTAAGAAGGAAGACTGCGTGAAGGGTGATCCTGTCGAGAAGGAAGCCAGAGAAAGTTCTAAGAAAGCAGAATCTGGAGACAAAGAAAAGGATACTTTGAAGAAAGGGCCCTCGTCTACTGGGGCCTCTGGTCAAGCAAAGAGGTTTGTTTTTCTATGTCAGTTCTTTACGATACTGAATTCCAGCATTCAATAAGATCACTCTACATTAAGGGGGTGGCTTCAAGACCATGTACAGTAATTAGTATCTTATGATCCTGCCTATAATATTTTTGACCGTCATAAGTTACTTAAAAAAAATTCAAGATCTTCATAATATGCAGTGTGTCCTACTGATTGCATTGTCGAGTTGTCAGCATATAATTGGGGTGTTTTTTGTTGGTTTTTTATTTTTGTTTTGTTTTTTGTTTTTTCAAATTGACAATTTTTGGTGTGTTTCATTTTTTAAAATCCTTGTGATGATGGTTAATGAGCAACTATCAGTTCTAAGAACACAAAATGAAGTCAAGTCCCAGTCCTGAAATCTGGAGAAGATGGCCATATATCCACTGAATAGAATTGTCAGAAACTATAGATCTTCAGGCGTCTTGGGGAAAATCAGTCCAAGAACCCTAATAACCTAACCTAACCTAGGCCTTTGGAATCGTTAATGTGTATAAACAGCACTAGCTGCAAATATAGTGAATATCAAGCTGTTCGATTTTCGCTCTTTTGTTTTTGTTTTCAATTTTCTTCTGGTGATTTGCTTCTTTAGCTCTTCAAAGGAATCTAAAGACAGCAAGACGTCATCCAAAGACGACAAAGGTAATGCCGTTGTCCCTGCTTGTTTGAGTGGTCACCTTTCATAGAAGTTGTGGGTATGTTTCCTTTGAAATGTAGTTCTTTGAAAATTTAATTACAGGCAAAAGAAATTTGAATGCTCTTTTGTGTAAACAATAGAGTTAATAGCTCACAGGACTCTGGGTGTGATTGGAGCATTATTTTTTATGTAATTTGTAGACTAGTGTGAGTATGCTAAGGAACACTAATAGGAAAGCGACCTGAATACTCTCATGGAGAGTTTATTTTCTCATACATATAACTTTGGAAGTATTTTATCTTCAGATGCATCCTTATGTAGCCACTAAACAGCACCACGATATTTTCCCTACCCTTGGCTGGTAGGAAATGTGCTCTAAAATAGTACTTGTGCATGTTTGTGGAGTCTAGTACTGAAATATTTCTATATACAACAGGAAATCACTCTCTCACGTTTGTTTTTTGTTTTGTTTTTTCCATAAACCATTGCCCAACCCTTCTGTTACTGCATCCAGTATGCAGTCTTTTCGTTCTCCAGATTTACTTCCTAATTGTCGTACTGTGTTTCAGTGGTGGGTTGTTTTTGCACTTGAGAAGTCTTCGGTTATCTCATGGCCCATGAACTAGTTTCATCTTGTCCCTGTGCTCTCTGCTTGAAAAGTAGGTTTTGATTTCTAAAGAAGTCTTGTAAGGGAAAAGCATTCAGGTACTACAAGGTCCTAGCATGGCTCTTGTGTCCCTAAGATTGTTGTGTGTGTGTTTTATGGCTTATTAACTACATTGTGTTGGTCTATTTCCATAGTTGGAGCTTTTAGTAATAGGTTGATTTACTAATTGCAAAGCAGCTACACTCCCTATTTGGGAATCGATAAGCTGCAAGCAATATATTGTTCTTTAAATTCAGAAATTTAGGGGTATTGGTTAAATATCACCTACTTAAATTTCTATATTTAGAATAATCATATTACTATTATTAAATAATATTCCCTCCTATTTAGGTACTTTTTAAAGTACCTTGGCTCAAAAGTTACTAGTAACAAACATTTTTTAAAACCTTTAAGTTAACCATTGATAAAATAAAACAGATCCTTTAATAAATGCATTTCTTAAGACTAGAAAAACACCAGCTATTAATATCTAAAACTTTGAGTCAGGCATCTGTTGTCTCTGCATCCCTTAAGTTTACACTGTAGTTTCAACTGTTGACACTTTGCCATGTAATTTTTTTCTTAATGCACCAAACATTCTAATCCTAATCCATATAATGACTTAAATAAGTAAACTTTTTAATTGGTTGTGTACGGTTTGTCAGAAGTGGATAAAATTGTTCTCTATATGGGAATAATTATAACTTATCGAGGGTTCATGAGGGAGGGCGGGCAGGGGAGGGAGGGGGAAGAAATGGGGAGCTGATATCAGGAGCTCAAGTGGAAAGAGAATGCTTTGAAAAGGATGATGGCAGCATACATGCAAATGTGCTTGCCACACTGGTTGAATGTGTGGATTGTGATAAGAGATGTAAGAGCCCCCAATAAAAGTATTTAATAATAAAAAATAAGAATTGTTCTCTAAGTAAAGTCAAATAAATAACAGCCCCTCTGAAGAAAGTCTTGAAAGGTGACTGATGAGAGAGGCGTGTTTCATAAAAAATGGCAAAAAAGAAATGGCATCTATATGTTTGAAACCATACTTTGTGAATAGAAAAAAATACAGAATGATTTACATAATTATTTTCCTCTTCTGATGGATTTTGAGATCTCTGATCTTACATCTTATGTTATAAAGGCTACCTTTTACTGAATCCAGAATTATCTGACTGCATATAATATCCATTTTCTCTTATCCTTTTTCTAATAGATAATGAAGATGAGCTAGTTGGTTAGTCTTTGTTATTAACCTTTTCAATGATTAAAAAGAGTTTATCCCTTTCCCTTAATCTTATTCCACCACCTAGTTACTTGGCTTACGGCCTAAAACAGGTGTGGATAGTTAGAGCAGGCCTTTCATTCTTGATGGCTGCTTCTGGCTGGACTGTATTCCTGTGCAGTGTAAAATATAAATTATTCAACAGTTATTGTCTGTGGCTTGTGATTGATTTTGTTACACCCTTTGACTTCAAACTCATGCAATTAGAAGTATATACTCAAACTTGTGTCCAGATTGTTGGATTGTGTATTACTGTGTGTGATTCTAATAGTAGAAAATAATAAGATTTTATATAGTAAGGTAGTATGATTATATAACTGAAATTAAAGGATTTTATGGTTCTGAAAGAATGTAGTTTTTATAATATAACTTTGCCAAAAATTCTGATTAAGGAACTTGAACATCTGTGATTAAATCTATTCCAGGAAGTGCAAGTAGTACTAGTGGTAGCGGTGGAAGCTCAACTAAAAATATCTGGGTTAGTGGACTTTCTTCTAATACCAAAGCTGCTGATTTGAAGAACCTCTTTGGCAAATATGGAAAGGTACTTTAACACATTATTACTTGTTATCCGTCTTTCTAGAAACAATTTGAACTGAGATCTCGGTTTTGAAAACTTAAATCTAGTAATGATGAATGTTTTACAGAAATTGTATTTAAAACAGTATTATATAATTGTCTTCTAATTTCTTTTAGCTCATAGGATTGTTAGTAATTATTGATTAGTTAGCAGTGATATTCATCATCTGAAATCTTACTCTAACCCCTAAAGATCTCTGTAATTCAAACCTTAATAGTTTGAGCCCATTTAAGGTAAGGATGGAGTCTCGTTCATCACTGTCATCTTTTTTCCAGCACCTAGAATGGGGTCTAGAACAATGCCGAGGCTGATGCTGTCAGCGTAGAATAGTTAGGTGCACTGTTGATAGGGGCTTTGCAGATAGACCTAGGTGCTGAGCAAGAAAAAAGCTGTACCATTCAAGAAAAGTGCTGACCTTTAAGGGGAGACTTGAGAGGAAGCATTCCAAGAATATTCACATAATAACTGGGGAATTGTAAATGGATCTATATCCCTTCTGGCTCTCCCTACTTTCTATTTAAATTTAAATTTTAATATATTTCACATTTAAAATACTCTTCGATGGTAGTGACATCAGCAACTATAGCTATGTGTAGATATTTTAGACTTTGAAGTGTTTATTAAATTAATGATCAATATTGGTGAGTAGTCATCATGGGATAGTCAGAACAAGCCTTCTTGCTGAATATAGGAGGTTGTGTTTTTATCTTTGCTTTCCCATTAATTTGAGAGGTGTCTTAGCAGGAAGTTGTTTCTTGCAGGTATCAGATACTGACCACTGAGAGCTGTGGTCTCAGGACCAGCTGTCGTCTAGTTTTTGTTTAATTCGCGTTAGTTTTTCTTAAAGGTGTATAAAAGTATTTTAATGTCAAGACTAAAACTAAATGAGAGTGTATTTCACTTGATGATAAGGCCTTGGGCTTCAGAATTATTAACTCAGTGGAGCAAACCAGTCTTTCTCAGGGTAAGAGAAATGTCAGTCATTTTCAGTCACACCTACCTTAACACCGTCTCGATTATCTGGGCACTGTGGCAGTGCTCTTCGTGTTTGTTTGTCACTGGATTGTTCTTGCTTACGTTTCCACTCACGTGTACCCATCCCCGCCGTCTGTTTCAACTACCCATTTAATTGAAGATATTTGTCACTTTTATATTAGTATGAAATTCAAAGCACAGATCCTAAGAGTGTATGTTCTCAAGAATTAAGGTGTATTTTTGTATATAGACTGCTTTTTATATGTAGCTATTGAGTATGGACTCAACTTTAAAGTTCCTGATCAAGTGCTTCATTATATGAGGGGGTACCGCCCAAATTGGAGCCTATCATACCTTCAATGTACTCTCCATTACATTTAATACATTTGTCAAATCTGTGATTCCATTCTTGGAAACATTTTTCAAACTCATCTGTTTGGATGGCTGACAGCACCTCCCTTGTTTTTTTTCATCACCTCTTATCTGTCGGTTGTCAAATCACTGCCCTTTCATGCCCCTCTTCATTTATGGAAACGAGAAAGTCTCATGGAGCAAGGTCAGATGCATGGGGCAAGAGAGGCATGCCTTTTTATTGCCGAAAACTGGTGCGCTGAGATGGCTGCGTGAGCAGGTCTATTATCGTGGTGGCAAAACCATTCTCCCACGTGCCACAAATCAGGCCTTTTTGTTGCCCACTCTGTTACGTAATTTTTCAGAAGTTCTAAACAGAAAAGCTTGATTAACAGCCTGACCTGGTGGAACGAACTCCAAATGCACTACTTTACAAGTAAAAATTTTCATCCATTCAGGAAGTTGATGGGCGTCCAGAAGAAGGTTTGTCATTAACCAACAATACACCTTTTTGAAACGAGAAAACCACACGTACACTTGAAGTTTTCCTATAGTTCTCAGCAGTTTATGCGGCATTTTCCCTTGAGCAAGAAACATAATTTTACAGCCTCATGCTGTTCCTTAAATCGGCCCTCACAAAAAACAAAGTTCAAGCAAAACTTTTCCCGAAAAAATTCACTGACCAGATGGAACCTTCCCAGGTGATGCCACTGGTTGCACTGAGAGCAAGTTGCTCTGAAGTTCACCTAGAGGGAAAAATGCATACTACGAAACCCTTTTTTTGGTTTTTGTTTTTTTGTGTGAAACCCTTTGTAGGCAAGTGTTAATCACTCATTTTTAAATGAAAAAATAAACTTATTTTTAAGAGACTTGTGATGGGTATGTGGTCGGGAAACTTTAGTCCCAATCCAGTTGAGAGTATTATTCTTTTACTTTCATTAATTATACCAGTTCTTCATTGATGTGTGGCTAGTTATATATTAACGGTGTATTTGAAAAAGAAGGAAAGTTGTTAAATTGCTTTTTAATCATTTTAAGTTGTTCTTGAATGTTAACTAAGTACCTAGGGGCGAAATATGAAAAAGAATAGCACATAACCTGAACATGTCTTTTATCCTCAATTTACATGTCCTGATTATATTCTTAAATTTGAATAGTCAGTTTCATCTCTTAAGAAGTGGGCATAGATATAAAATTATAAAACTTTCTGAAATCTCATAGGTCCTGAGTGCAAAGGTAGTTACAAATGCTCGGAGTCCTGGGGCTAAATGCTATGGCATTGTAACTATGTCTTCAAGTACGGAAGTATCCAGATGTATTGCACACCTTCATCGTACTGAATTACATGGGCAGATGATTTCTGTTGAAAAGGTAAGCTTGCTCAACTGCTTACAAAAGTGGAGTTAATTTGGAGGGCTAGTAATTTTCACTCTCAAAAATAGTGGTGCTGTTTGAGAGCAGAATTAGAAATGATTTGTAAATTTTTATTTTCTTGCTTTTGCCTATAAAATTTTCTATGTCTTGCAGATTTTGTACCATCAGCATACTTTTTATAATTATAAAAAAGTAACTTTAAAACTTACCGACTTTTTTTTCCTTTTTCTGATCAATGTCTTTCAGGTGAAAGGTGATCCTTCTAAGAAAGAATTAAAGAAAGAAAATGATGAGAAGAGTAGTTCACGAAGTTCTGGGGATAAAACAAATACAAGTGATAGAAGTAGCAAGTAAGGATTGGCCTTTTAATAACTAAAGACTTTCTCTGTGTATTGATGGAGTCGTTTTCATTCTGTTGTTGTTCTCTTGTGTGTGGTGGTGTGGTTAGGACACAAACCTCTGTCAAAAAAGAAGATAAAAGGTCATCTGAGAAATCTGAAAAAAAAGAAAGCAAGGATGCTAAGAAAATAGAAAGTAAAGACGAGAAGAATGATAATGGATCAAGTGGCCAAACTTCAGAATCAACTAAAAAAAGTGAAGAAAAGAAGCGAATAAGTATGCTACGTAGATTATTTCTCAGTCCCTTTCTAAAGCATTTTGCTATATAAATATTGCAGTGCAAAAGAAATCCTGAGATTATCATCCAGATTAAAAGTAGAGTTTATGGTAGAAAGAAAAGTAGGTCCACTGAGAGAGCAATGTGTTCTCTCCACTTAAGCTCTTTGATTTTACTCTCAGATCTGGGCTGATTTAAGTATTCCTGCACTTAAAGCTAGGTTAATAAGATCTTTTGGTAAGACTGCAAGCATGTAAATGATCAGATTGAACTATTTAAAACTCTTGCTTTACATATAATTTCTTGAATAAGCTTTTTATTTTGTATATTAGTTTGTGTCTTGTTAAACATGCGGCGTTTTTTATATTTTATTCATTTTCTTAATGACACGTTTTCTAGGCATTCATCTGTATTTCTCTCTCGTTCCCTCTCAGGTTCAAAGAGTCCAGGGCATATGGTAATATTAGACCAAACTAAAGGAGATCATTCTAGGTCATCAAGAAGAGGAAGACATGAGAAAGTAAGTTTTTTTGAGAGGGCTGTTTCATATATTTCACCTGTTTCCAAAAGGCAGTCATTCAAAATCTCTGGAACTATCTTTACATACTTCTGTGAGAGAAGCTGTTTGAAAAACAGAAACAAAGGTGAACTTGTAAAAGAAAACCCAAGGTGGGGTTAACGTCCAGTTCTTCTCTAACTTTGTCCTCTCTAGATTCATGGTAGGAGCAAGGAAAAGGAGAGAGCTTGTCTAGATAAGAAAAGGGACAAAGACTACAGACGAAAGGAGATCTTGCCTTTTGAGAAAATGAAAGAACAGCGACTACGAGAACATTTAGTTCGTTTTGAAAGAATACGGCGAGCAATGGAACTTCGAAGGTAGGAAAAGAATCTTTTATGTATATGTTTAAATAGAGACACATAGGCTTATGTGGTATTTTCTAGGGTATCAAGTACTGTTCCATGTGTTAGCTCCATCTTAATAGTACCCAAAATATAATGTTCTTTTAGAAATGAAGGCCTAGAGAATAAGCCACATGAATTTCCAATGTGCCACATGCCCGAGAGGCGGAGTCCAGACTTCGACACAAGTCTTCTGGCTCCAAGGCCAGTCAGTGCTCTCTTCTCTACTCCAGAGCGGGCTGCCCTTTAACAACAAAAACAACCTTTTAAAGAAAAATTAATTTTTGCATTAAGACTGTGACAAAGTAGTTACAGAACTCAAGCACTGTTGAAATTTTAATAGCTTAGCAAGAATTAGTTCTTCTTTTGCCTCTGTAGCCCTAAAGTCAGATTTGCCGGTGGACTTTACTGCGTTCAGGCTTTATCCCAAGGAAGCTTACGCTTTCAAACAAACACAACACATTTCTAATAGTGGAAATATTGCAGTAATTCATTATGAGTGCTAGTGTACCATCATATCAATTTTTGTATGTCACTTAAGATTTTTTCATGAATGTTTTTTATAGCATAAACTTCCAAACGTGGCCCTCTCTTACTTGTGGGGGTCACTTAGGGTTCTTGCATTCACAGCGGTGACATGGGTGCCAGGGACTCCTGAGTAGCTTAACACGACTGCGAGTGCCTGCCCTGCGCTGTACTGGAGGAAAAGACGCCTCTCATCACAACCCACTCTTTTCTCTCTTGAGATAGTCCTACTAAGCTTTGCCTCCTGTCTCACTAGCTGAAGTGGGAGTACGTGGGAGTACGTGGGAGTGGGAGTTGGTAGAACAGTGATTTTCAAACCCAACAGACTGCCAACTCTTAGGTGAAAAAAACAAAACAAAAAACTATCCTGAACTGAAGTTGATACATACCTACTCTGCAAATAATCTCCCAAACACATCAGCATAATGCTTTAACTGAATATGGAGAAATAAAGCTAATTTACAGTAACATATAGTATTTGAGTCATTAATGCTTAGTTTTGACTCTCTCAGGTAGACCTACTGAGCATGTGACCACTAGAAGTACAGATCCATCCTGAGGTGCTGTACTAGTGAGTCAAATTCCAGAAGGGAGCTGTTCATGACAAGATTTCGGAAATGGCCAACAACTCTTGTTACTAATGTTCTCAAGAAAGTACTGTTTCAAAAAAAAAAAAAGTTCTGTTTCTTGGTGTGTTCTTGGAACATTTCATTTATATTAAAACCACTTTACAAACAAACCTAGCATTTATGAGAAATGGAGTTAAATTCTAGGATCACACAGTAATTTTTTTTTTTTGCCCCACAGTAATTTTTTAACACTTTTTTTCCAGTGACATTCATGTTATGTGTTTTTGCAGAAAATTTTCTCCAACCAAAAGGGTGTGTGGTGCTTCCTGGCTATTGCATCAGGAAATATTTAGCATCCTTGATCTTGACACTAAATATTAGTAAGAGTCCCCCATCATTGTTGTTCATGGGAAATGGTACTGAACCAGTGATAGTCACGGTATTGCTCGAGGAAGACCTACTGACAGACAGAATACACTGGCTGCTGCTTTAGAGTGAAGAAGAGACCGAAGCACCATTCAAAATCTGATCAGATCAGCCAACACTCAAACCATCTCCCACTTAAAACACATACCACCTGGGAGAACCTTCTGTCAGGGGCCAGTGAGTGCATCAGATTCATACGTAGCATTTGCTATAGCTGATGATTCTCAAATAATCAAAAACAAGTATACTTTGTTTAAGGAGGTAGACTATATATTGTAAACATTGGAAATTTCCCCTATCAAACACACAATTGCAAGAAGTTTTAATTCTGTTAATTTGAATGTGTAGACTTATTTTAACAAATGAGTAATTGGTGGATTGTTATTGTAGTGAGGTTTTTATTTAAGCAGGAATCATGTAAGAGGGAGCCACTCTGTAAAGTTCAGCTTTTTATTTGATAGCCTTATAATACATGACTGTATTGGAATCTGTTTATAAAGTTTTCTTCTGAGTTGACATTTGAAATTGCCAACCTCAAAGAAAACTTCACAATTCAAAAGCTGTCTCTTTCACACAGTACTAGCACAATTTAAGTATTTCTAAATACTGATTTTTGTTAGACGAAGAGAGATTGCAGAAAGAGAGCGTCGAGAGCGAGAACGCATTAGAATAATTCGTGAACGGGAAGAACGGGATCGCTTACAGAGGGAGAGAGAGCGCCTAGAAATTGAAAGGCAAAAACTAGAGAGAGAGAGAATGGAACGCGAACGCTTGGAAAGGGAACGCATTCGTATTGAACAGGTGCACTCAGAAAATCTTTTCATCTTCGATAACTGACCTTTTTCAAACCCTGTGATATGTGCCCTACATTTTTGCTTTACTTGTTGTAAAGCCTGTATAGAATGAGTTCAGGTATGAGAACTTAAGCACCCCTTGAAAAGTCACAAAGAATTAGGTGCCAGTGAAAAGTCCATTCAGTCATGGCTTTGTTCTAGCGAGTCTTCCTGTAGCTCTGCAGTCTCACGGCAGCCAAGCAGTCTGAGCGTACGACTGTGAGTTGAGTAGTTGTAATCCAGGCTTTGTCACTGTCCGTCCCAGATTTAGGTAATAAATAATATGTGTTTCCTTGCATATTATCAAAAACAGAAGCAACAAGGCCTATTGCCATCGTTTCTGGCTCATAGCTACCCTGCAGGGACAGACTAGAACTTGCCCCATAGGGTTTCCAAAGCAGTAATCTTTTCAGAAGCAGAGAACCACAGAGCCAGCTGGTGATTCAAACAGTTGACCTTTCAGCTAGCACCCAAGCACTTACCAGTGTGCTACCAGGCTACTCATCCGTAGTACAAGGCAACAATTTCCCAAAATTAGAAAGAAAAGATGCCTTTATTTGCAGAATTGCAACTAAGATTTTAAGGCATTTAGTCTCCATATATTAAGGATTCTGTTTCTAGTTCCCTTTATTAGATGCTTTTGATTTAGTCAAATGTATAAACTAAGTATGGCCTTCCCATGTACTTCCCAGCTTATTCTACTTCGTCCCTGTTGTTCTTAATGTTGCAGACCAACAGCCGTAATGTGGATTATTTAAGTCAGATAGAATTGTCCCAAATTTGTGTTGTCTTCAGTTTGGGGTTTTGGCCCATGGTGGCTTCTTAATGGCAGGCTATCCGAGTTGCGTACATACTGACCTTCTGTTTCGTTTTGCATTGGTTGGTTCTTCCTTCTGTGTTGTCTAAAGGAACGCCGCAAAGAAGCTGAGCGCATTGCTCGGGAACGAGAGGAACTCAGACGACAACAGCAGCAGCTTCGTTATGAACAAGAAAAAAGGAATTCTTTGAAACGCCCCCGGGATGTCGATCATAGGTACTAGGTTATTTTCTTTAACAGTGATACCTGTTGTCTTCTGCCTTTCAACCTAAGGCTAGGGAGTTAGAGTGTATGAGCTCCCGTCACTGGAATATAAGATCATGATGCAGTGCTGGGTGGGCTCTGCATTGTCAGATACTCAAGAAGAAAGAATTAGCTCATCTTGTCCCCCTTAATGCCAAATGTTTTTAATTATGGAAATAATACAGTCATAGTAGATTTCTTTAGAGATTCTCAAACTGAAGCCCAGTTTTGAAAGTTCTCAAGGTAATGCAGATTGTACAAAAACAAGTCATACATTTGGGAAGTGTTGTCTGTTTGATTTAAAGGGTCTTAGTAGATTTTTAAATATAATTGTAGATAGTTGATTTTCTTCTAAATTCTGTGAGAGCTGACTGTTGAGACTTAGTTGGAATGAATCAATAATGCTTGGAACTTAATGTCTCTTTCCAAGGTTAACTATAAAGGTTAAGTAAGGACTATTTTTTTATACTGGTTTTTGTTATAAAATGGTGTTAGTTTTCTTTTCCATTTAATAATTTTAAAACAAAAAATCTTGAAGCAGGCAAATTTCAACTATTTTCCAATACTGCCTAGATTTAAATAATTTCATAATTCTTTGCTACTACTTTGTATTAACTGGATGTTCTAGGTCTTGAGTTAACTAGCCCTCTTGTGTCTACAGTTTCTAGCATGTAGTGTGTGTAACTCCAAGTAAATGCTGTTTGACTGCTGTGACACTAGTTTAGGTAAATAAGCAGATATTTCTTTTTAAGGCGTGATGACCCTTACTGGAACGAGAATAAAAAGCTGTCTCTAGATGCAGATGCACGATTTGGCCATGGGTCTGACTACTCTCGCCAACAGAACAGATTTAATGATTTTGATCACCGAGAGAGAGGCAGGTTTCCTGAGAGTTCAGCAGTACAGTCTTCATCTTTTGAAAGGTAAGTAGAAATGTTGAAAATTGTCCTATGTGATGGCAGGGTTTTGCTGGTGTTAACTTTGGTTTTGTGTTAAAATCTTAATTCAAATTCAGAAGTACAGGTCAAAACTGAATATTGACAGCAAATGTTTGTTTGTGTTTTGTTAATTTTAAATGACTTAAATAGACCACTATGACAGCCCTGCAGCTGGCTTTATCTTCTTACCTTGAATACTGACTAGGAGTAGTGCCAAAATAGTAGTGTGCTGTGATGGAGATTGTTGGGTTTGAATGTGCCTCAATGGTACCGCAAAACACCCGTTAGCTGGGCAGTGAATTGAGTGGTTGATATAGTTCCTCCTGGATGCTAACGATTCAACTTTTATGGCTGACATCTTAGTCAATTTAAGAGCATAAGAATTAATATAATCAATAATTATAGCTTTTTTAAGGAGAGGTGACTTAAGGCATTATCATTGTGTGTTGGGCAAATTAAGTGTAAGTATAGAATAAGGCCAAATAGTACTTCATAATCTCTGTGTTCTTTGTTTTGGATCATTAATAGGCGGGAACGCTTTGTTGGCCAAGGTGAAGGGAAAAAGCGCCCTACCGCACGGAGAGAAGACCCAGGTTATGAAAGGTATCCCCCAAATTTCAGTGACTCTAGAAGAAACGAGCCTCCACCCCGAAATGAACTTAGAGAAGCAGACCGGCGAGAAGTGCGAGGGGAACGAGACGAGAGGAGGACAGTCATCCTCCACGACAGGCCTGAGATCGCTCACCCGCGGCATCCCCGGGAGGGAGGGCCCAACCCGTCCAGACCAACGTCCTGGAAGAGTGAAGGGGGCCTGGCCAGTGACAAACGGGAAACAAGGTATTTGTATAGTTTTTGGTGCCTAGATATTATTGTTGTTAATGCTGTCGAGTCAAAATTTGAATCATTGGCCCCGGAACTACTCTGTAGAGTTTTCTTGGCCACTTCTTTATCCCGTGGAATCACTGAGTGGGTTGGAATCTCCAATCTTTATGTTAGCAGCTAATCACTTAACCATGAATAGGCCTAGCTCGTGGAATATAATGGGTTACAAAAAAAAAAAAACCAAAACGCTGTGACACTGTTTGGTTCATAGATACTTTCTCTTTTATTGACCAGAGTTGAAAGGCCAGAGCGATCTGGGAGAGAAGTGTCCGGACACAGCGTGCGAGGCGCCCCTCCCGGGAACCGCAGTGCTGCCACCGGCTATGGTAGCCGCGAAGGAGACAGAGGCGTAATCGCAGACAGAGGAAGTGGTGCACAGGTAAATCCCAAGGCACTCTTGTTGTCGGTGCTTTAGAAATAAACGTGGATGACTTGTGAAAGAGTCTTAATGTAGTGTATCATTGTATATGGTCTAGATTACTTGGAATTACTGGGGAAATGGATTTTTTAATAAAAATGCTACTATTTCTCACACTTTACTGCTAGTACTTGAATGTCAATAGTTCAAAGAAGTAAGATAGCTGCCTACAGAAATTTGGGGATTCGTCTTATTTGGTAGTTGAGCCAAAGGATGGATTTGGGTTTTCTTTCTTTCAAACTGGGTGAGGGATCCCTGGTACTGCTGTGTGTCCCTCATCTTTCTCTTCATTTATTACCTTCAAATGAACTGAAATGAGACTTTTTGTCTTTTTCTTATTCCTAACTCTATCTTCCCAAAAGCTACAGGCAATCTTCCATATAGTAACTGTTTTATAACTCATGTAATTAATATTTTATAATTCAACGAACGTAGACACAGAAAGTACCTCTTAAGCAACTCAAATGAACAAAAAGGATTTCGCCTAATCTAAAAGCTGTTATTGATTAAATAACTGGCATTTAAGTTGACAGTGACACAAATAGAATATACTCTTTTCGTACTTGACCAGAAATTCTTAAATCTCTTATCATTTTTGCTATTGCCAATATACTCTACTTCATTCAGCATGTTTGAAACAGATTTGGGCCTGACGGCATTATAGGATTCACTGTCTAAGAAGTAGAAATATTCTGTAGATCAGTGCATGGAGCTGTTTCCTCTGAAAAGAACTTTCAGCAGTGCGTGTATGATTCAGATGGTCAGCCTTGTTTAGAGTGAAACTTTAAGAAGTCTCACGATTTCCCGAAGACCCTGGATCTTCTCTATTAAAGCCTTGCTTTTTCTGTGTTACTGTTCTGCCAGTATTGTAGCTAAGCTGTACTCTGGAGTATCTTTGGTTTTACTTCCTGTTGCACAAATATTAAAGCTCTTGACTCCTCTTTCCTTGGATTCTTAGTTCGGTATTTTGTTTCTTTCTGCTGCTACCTTGCCAGAGCTAGGGGCACCGTTGTTGTAGTTGCAGTCGTCCTTATTGACTTGACAATACCCCATGTGTCAGAGTAAAGCCGGTCCACAGAGTGCTTGAGGTTGTGATCTTAACAGGCAGGAGGGAAGCACTGGGTAAATATTTGGCTGATAATGGAAAGATCCGCAGTTCCAAGTGACAGAAAGGTAGCAGAGTTTCTACAGCAGAAAGATAGGACTGCCCAATTTCCAGAAAACTTGCTGCCTTAGAGCCTCCCACGGCAGTTTTGTCTTTTCAGGGTCCTGGATGGCAACAGGTTCATCTTCGTGGCAGCAGAGCACTGAGCCTTTCAAGGGAGTTGCTGGGTGGGTGTGGCCCACCAACCTTTTGGGGTTCGCAGCCAAGCACTTCACCATTGCACCACTAGGGCGCGGCTTCTTGTGGCGCTAATTGCTATTATTTACAAGAAGATAATGCCTATGTTGTCTTCGCTTGTTCTGTGTGATCAGATGCCCCACTGTGATTTCTTTAAGGCTTTGATAGGCTCTCAATCTCAGTGGAGATGTTTGAAATACTTAAGGGTCAAAAAGTTATGTGGGTGCTAGAAAGTATAGACATAACATTACAATCCTGAGTTACAGCCTGATACATTTACCCTGTAGCCTCAGTAGCTTCTCACTCACTCACAAGATAGATGTGAGCTCTTTCATAGGGTATATTGCATTCATTGTTCAGATTTTAATTTTCTCAGGCATCAACATAAGTAAATTGGTAGGAGATTGATGGTGTTTTTACTTTCTTTTTATTTGTCACTCTTTAGCATTATCCTGAACAACGACATGTGGTTGAAAGCCATGGTCGGGATACAAGTGGACCAAGGAAAGTGTGGCATGGTCCACCTTCTCAAGCGCCAGGATATGAAACGCGGCGAATTGCTGATGGGCGGGCCGGATCAGGCATGATGAACCAGCATGCGAGGTAAACAGCCCTTCAGTTCAGAGTGTGGTGCCAGCACACAAGCAAGTCTTGAGTCTCTCCTTAAAGGCCATTACAGTTTCGAAGGGGTTAAATTTGCAACTTTCCACAACAAAATGAGCACACACATATATATTTTCCCATACTAACTCAAAATCACCCGGAGCTAATGTTCTTTATTTTAAAGTACTTGATTGATATCTATTACTGGCCTGGGCACCACACTTTGAGTATCACTGGTCCAGCCTGTCTGTGTCTGCACTATTAAATAGCTTTTTTTAGGCAGGGGCTCCACTATTAAAATAGTTTGGTGACCTTGAGCAATTACTTAGCTGCTGAATCTCGGGTTTTTTATCAATAATATGGAGTGGAGAGACAGTGGTGACGAGTGGTCGAATTCTCCACTTCTCTATGGGAGAATGGGGTTCAATTCCAGCCAAGGGCAGTGACCAGCCACCAGTCGTTGGTCGGTAATGTGTTGCTGTGAGGCTCTTGTGTGGGTTTTCCCAACTACGACGAATGAGGGGAAAGTACCTGGTGATGGACGACGACGGCAAGTCAGCCAATGAAAATGTTTGTGGATCACAGCAGCCCTCCTGCTGTCCTTCGGTCACCATGAGGGGGGCTGACTAGATGGCAGCTAACATGGAGGAAGTGTGTTTGCTTGCTCATAGCACATACCTTACAGAACTGTTGAGAGTAAATGATTTAGTATAGGTAAAGTGCAAAGAATGATGTTTGTAAATGGTAACCATTCTACAGAAGAGCTTCAAAAAAGTTTAGAATGGGGTTGGGGACGGGAATAATGAATTTTTCCCAGGAACTTTATGAAGCCACCTCATACAGGTATTTGCAATATTTATTCTTTGTTTGCTGACACTTTTTTTTTACCTTTTATAGCAACGCATCCCCAATTAAAAGAGTTGTACCAATCAGTGGCAATTCCATGCCAAGAGGAAGCGGCTCTGGGTTTAAGCCATTTAAGAGCGGACCTCCGCGACGATTCTGAAGATCCGCCTCTGCCGTGGTTTCAAGATAATTTATTGGAATCTCCTGTAGACGTCTCCTCGCCTCCTTCATGAAGAGGACCTCTGACTGGCTTGAGAGTTCTGTCAGACTCACTTTCTTTTTATTTCCTTTTCCCTCCCTTTAAAAGAAATTTAACATGATTGCTTTTCTCAATTTTGGAGAAGATGTTTAAGTAGTTCTGTTGTAACTTTTAATAGTTTTGTGTATCATTCGATTTTTTTTCTTTCAGCACCAAGCACATTTGCAAAGATTGGTGTTGAAACCATCTTGTTTGATGGTGTGTGGATGTAAAGAGTAATTCGCATCTGTGTGGTAGTGATTTCATTTACAGCACGAGCGCTGTGGTGTCAGGCTCTAGGGTTCCCTCTTGTCACCAAGCATTTTCAGCCTCCGTTTTGAAGGCTGTCTGCGCTTAAAAGTCTGCTGTCTAATTTCTAGAGAATAAGACTGTTCCTTGCATTTCTGAGTATTACGTAACCTATTTTTGCAGAGGGTACTGATACATTAAGTGCATCTGTGTATCCTGGTTAAAAAAATGTACTCTTTTTTGAAATAAACCTTCATATTCTGTATAGTTGCTAAAGTGTGGAGAACCTTTTTAATTGTAAAATGAGAACCAATTTTTAGCTTAGTGTAGCAACACACTTGTTCAGGTGTGCATGGTCTGAAACCAGAGAGGTTAACGATCATGAGGCCGCGGCCCTGAGGTTCGCATCACTCAGTTCTTAGACTGAGCTGTGCAGGTAAGTGCACTTTCTGCTCATCTCTTCTGTTCAATGATAAAGTCTCTTCCTGGGAATTGAGTGGGTACTGATGTTTTTTTCCCTTCACAACTGTGTTGAGAAGTGGAAAACAAACAGACAAACCCCAGGTTCGAGGTTTGTAAATACTTGTATGAGGGAAGGCATTCTTGTGTCTGTGAGAATAAAAATCCACTCTTGGAGTTGTGTGTGTCTCTCTCTTTCTAGCGTTTCAGGTTTTAGTGCGCGGCGCTTTGAGGAGTTGAACCCAAAGGAATGGAGCGCGTTTTGAGGCAGAAAGGCAGCCTTTCTAGCTTGCTTCCTGGAATCTGACTTTCACTCTTCACCTCTTCAGCTGGGCTGCACATTCTTGGATCGATCATGATTAAGAAGTCACCGTTAATCTTAAGGCTTTAAAAAAAGGCTTTACTTCTGAGAAAAACCCTTCAAAGTAGATTTTGAACATCATTTCCTTCATGTCCATCATCAGAATCAGTGGTGATGAATCATTCAAGTGATCTAGATTCCTGTTCAATCCCACAGCTTGCATGTTCATGCTCATGTAGAGCAAGAGGATGGGCATAATAGGGGATCGTTCTAGGGCATCTCTTTGATGTGAGGGGGAACCTCTGAAGATAGTCTTGTAGCTCACTAGGGTCGAGGGATTCTCCGTCCATGATGAGACTTGTATTCCCAAATACTGTTGGCAGCCCGGGCCCTGGAGTACTTTGTACTGCTCAGAATTTCATAGCCCGTCCACTCGTCCCAGCTCTTGGATCTACTACTACATCTCTGGGTCCACAACACTTGGTAAAAATGGCACATTAGAAGGATCAATCTATATCACAATGGGCTGGTTCTAGCTTTAGCCATGGTTGTGTGTGTGTGTGTGTGTGTGTGTGTGTGTGTGAGAGAGAGAGAGAGAGAGAGAGAGACTAGGTCCTTATTCCAATTCTAGTCTTGTCCATATTTGTAGAGTCGGCATGTATTTGTTACAAGGAATGATTCCATTGTTAACATTTTACTAATACTTCCTATGTTTCTGGCAATGTGCATTTTCAAAAATGCATTTCCTTACCTAATTCTCAGAACCCCCAAACAACCATTCAGACAGTTCCCATCCTGCCCATTTTTCAGATGGGGATCCAAGAAGTAACCCACTCTTAACAAATTAATTCTTTGATTTGCGCTTTCTGTATTCTTTACCTTGACCCCAGGTGGTGCAGTGTGGTTAAGTGTTCACCTGCCATCTGCATGGTCGGCAGTTTGAAACCACCAGCAGCTCTGTGGGAGAAAGACTGGACTCTAATAGCGCCAATTGTTCCAGTCTTGAAAACCCACAGGGAGGTCACCGTGAGTCAGCATGGACATGATTTTCAGTGAGTGAGTATCTACTTACCCTAAAAAAGTTTTTTTAAAAAGTTTTTAACCACCTCACAGTAGCATTGATGACAATGTGGTGGCTTTTTAAAAAATGTTTTTCATGAAAATGGTTAAATTTATAAACCCCCACCCCCAGGTTTCTATGTTAGGGATTTTCCAAGTGCAGAAAACCTAATGAAGTATCTAGTGAAATTTTGGACTTGAACTTGAGAGTAGCATTCAGGGCTCAAGGGGCACCAGGTAGCAGAGATCTTGCTGGCTCATGGTCAATGGTGAAAATGAGAGGATGGTTCTTGAAAACCAAGAGACAGAGACAAAAGCTTGCTCTTCCCCATGGCACTTGGTGGGCATGGTTCACCATAATGTTGAAGATTACGACAGGAGAAAGATAAGGAGCCAGACTTAGTAAGTTTGGGGGAGAGATAGTAAAGTAAGTACATATGCCATAGTTATAAAAGAAAAATACCTAGAAATTACATATGGAAAATTTCTAAGTTCAAAATATAAGAAATTTTAAACTTCCTCCACTTACTACATCCTAGGCTAGATTGTCATTTAACAAATTACTTTTGTATTTTCCTTTTTTTTTCCCTTTTAAAAACCATTTATTGTGGTTTGGGTGGAAGTTTACAGAGCAAATGTGTTTTCCATTCAACCATTTAGACATTTTTTTTTTTTCCATTTAGACATATTATGAGACATCGATTGTAATCCCCGCGATGTAAGTGAACTCTTTCCATGCCCTCATTATATTCTGCCATTTCCATTTGTCTTTCATTCCTGTCCCGTCCTGCCTTCTGAGTTTGGGTTTTGGACAAATGCTGCCCCTTTGATCTATGTTTGATTGTTTTTGTTTTTTAATCATTTTATTAGGGGCTCATGCAACTCTTATCACAATCCATACATACATCAATTGTGTAAAGCGCATTTGTACATTCATTGCCCTCATTATTCTCAAAACATTTCTTCTCCACTTAAGCCCCTGGCATCAGGTCCTCATTTTTCCCCCTCCCTCCCTGCTCCCCCCTCCCTCATGAACCCTTGATAATTTATAAATTTTTGTTTTGTCATATCTTGCCCTGTCCGACGTCCCTTCACCCACTTTTCTGTTGTCTGTCCCCCATGGAGGAGGTCAGATGTAGATCCTTGTAATCGGTTCCCCCTATCCAACCCACTCTACGCTCCCAGTATTGCCACTCACACCACTGGTCCTGAAGGGATCATCCGCCCTGGATTCCCTGTGTTTCCAGTTCCTATCTGTACCGGTGTGCATCCTCTGTTCTAGCCAGACTTGCAAGGTAGAATTTGGATCATGATTGTGTGTGTTTGTGTGGGGGGGGGTGGCATTTAGGAATTAGAGGAAAGTTGTATGTTTCATCATTGCTACATCGCACCCTGTCTGGCTCGTCTCCTCCCCGAGACCCCTCTGCAAGGGGATCTCCAGTGGCCTACAAATGGGCTTTGGGTCTCCACTCCGCACTGCCCCCCTCATTCACTATGGTAAGATTTTTGGTTCTGATGATGCCTTATACCTGATCCCTTTGACACCTCATGATCGCACAGGCTGGTGTGCTTCTTCCATGTGGGCTTTGTTGCTTCTGAGCTAGATGGCCCACTTTTGTATTTTTCACAAGGGGTCTCATCTGATCCAAGTCTTGATGTGATGCATGAATCTTCTTAAAGCATTCCTTGCAGGCACCTCAACTCTTAACATGCCTAGTTCCTCCCCTAAACTAGTGAATCCCCTTGCCAAACATTTAGTCACTATTTTCAAATCGTTGAGACTGATAAAATTAACCTCTCTTTGGAATGTCCCTTAATATGTATCAGTCAACAAATAAGTGCTTATTTTTACTTGAAACAACTTGATTTCTGAAGTCCTTCGGTTCTTCCTACAAGATAAGTTGCTTTCTATCTCAAGTATAACAACCATTCTAGCCAGCCATACGGTTCATCTTACATACATATTCTAAATGAAATGATATTGCAATAAAGCATTGTTCTCTGAGAAGACTGGGTCCATCTTCCTTCCATCTCTTAGAATAAATCCAATAACTCTAAGGGGTTTCTTTTTTCTTATTTCCTACTACGCGTGTCTTTTCACCCTTGGTTCCCGTCACCATGGCCGCTTCTGTGCCTTGGATACACCAGCCCATCTCAACTTGTGCTTTATGACTTCTTTGATAATGTAGCACTCTCAACTCCCACTTGCAACCCCCTCTCTCCCCTGGTGCTTACATGTCTCACTTCCTGCAGGTCTTGACTAAATATTTTCTCAGGGAGGCCATTCCTAATCCTTAAAAAATGAGTCCCCTCCATCTCCCTACCAGACATCTGTCTCGTCCTCCTTAAATGTAAACTCCCAGAGAGCAGGGAGTTTCCTCTGTTTTGTTCACTTCTGGCCTTTAGTAGCCACTCAAAGTATTTGTTGGATGGATACTCATGGAGGGTCAAGCATTATAGGGTGATAGCGGCAGCAGTCTGCTCACAATGGCAGCTTTGTCTTGAAAGTGAACTAGAGTTACCCACCAGTAAGAATTGAGATAATTTAGGGACAGCTGTCCAAGTAAGTCTAAGGCTCATAGCAACGTGTGTGAACCATAAAGGCACCTTTGTTCCACCTCCATGCGCTATACAAATATATGATGGGGGCTTCCGAAAGTCCCAGGAGTGGACAAAAATGGGGAGCTGATATCAGGGACTCAAGTACAAAGAAAACGTTTTGAAAAGGATGATGGCAACATATATACAAATGTGCTTAAACAAATGGCTGTATCGATTGTTCTAAGAGCTGTAAGCCCCCAATAAAATGGTTTAAAAAAAAAAAAAGATTGTACTAGGGATCCTAGTTAGTGCCCTAAGAATAGTAAAAGGTGTAATTGTTTTTCATTCCTTTTTAGGATGGACAAAAGTAATTGTAGCTAGTATGTGGAGATATGTAGAAAATTCACAAGAATTTGGAAATTGTATATAAATGAAAAAACACACAAAAGTCCCAGGAAAGTTTTCATTATCTTTCCATTCCATTTTTCCACAAACTTTCTGAAGCCCTCCTTGCCCCCCACCCCCATACTTTGCTTTGCCAACAGATAAGATCACTTAAGTATCAAGTCAGCTAGCCTGATAGTTAAGTTTTCACTGGTTTATTAAGGACTGACTGAGCTGATCAAAGGCTTAAAACAATAAAGTCATTGACAGATAGATTTCCCCCACACCTACCCCCTAAATCACAGTCATTAATTTATTCACTGTACCCACCTTTGGGGAGATGGAGAAGAGACACAGCATGACGAGTAGGAGCCAGTGATTCTCAAGGATAGAATAACACTCCCAAGATGGAATGTTTCAAAGAATTTTTATACTATAAGGAACTGTCCTCAGGATTGTAATTTACCTCAAATCACATCAATAGTATCTGTAAGGAGCTCTGGTAAGCATTAGGCTGTCGATCACAAAGTTGGTGGTTCAAAACCCCCAACTGCTCCTCAGGAGAAAGATCTGCTCCCGTGAAGATGTACAGCCTCGGGAACCTTAATCATTAGGGTCACTGTGAGTCACCATCGACTGTGGCAGTGGGTTGTTTGGTTTGGGGGTAGTTTTGTTTATTAGCTTTAATACCTTTTCAGTTTGTTCCTCAAGAGATCTACCATCCCCTGGTCTCCTTGCTAGTGCTCTGGCCTTTAAAAGTAGTCTGGCTTGCAATCAATTAGATGAAACAAAAAGTATGTGGGTTGATTACAAAAAGTAATAGATCATCCAATGAACAACAGTTTTTAAAAAGGAAGAAAGGCAGGTCTGCTTCACCTTCTGTGTCCCAACA